AATGGGGTTGTTGAATGAAAAAATAAACATCTTATTAAAATTTCTCGTACTCTATTGTGTCATAGTTAGGTTCCTCATCGATTTTGGAGTGATACTGTTCTTACTGCGTGTTACCTTATTAATTGAATGCCATCCTCAATTCTTCAAAACCCTCACTCTATCTTATACCCTCACCAGTCCCTTCACCCTTTACTCCCTCGTGTCTTTGGGTCCACCTGCTTTGTTCATGACCTTAGCCCTGAGCTTGATAAACTCTCACCACGCTCTCACAAATGTGTTTCTTTAGGTTACACTAGGTCTTAAAAAAGTTACAAGTGTTACTCTCCAACTCTTCGTCGCTATTTAGTTTCGGCTAATGTCACCTTCTTTGAATCTATTCCTTTCTTTACACCTAGTCCTCAAGTTTCAATCTCTGAGTCTCCTCCTTTCCCTCATCTAGCTTATGTGCCTTTCCATTATGTTCCACCAAAACCATCTCATGCTTCTGCCACACCACCTCCTTCGCGCACTCTGTCGTTGCTAGTCCCTCTCTGCACCGACATTGTCTTGCTGGTCTAACTTTTGACTCGCTTCCGGTGCCACTCACCATCTCTCCTCCAGGCTTGTCTCCTGAGACTGAACTTCCCATTGCTCTTAATAAGGGCACACGCTCTACTCGTAATCCCTCTCTTAATTATGCTTCTGAGTTATCATCGGTTGTCTTCTTCCCACTATACTTGTTTGTCTTCCTTATCCTCTGTTTCTATTCCTCAAACCACAGGTGATGTTCTCTCACATATCACTTGGAAACAAGCAATGATTAAAGAGATGTGTGTTCTTCAGAATAGTGGTACTTGAGACCTTGTTCCTCTTCCTCCTGGGAAGTCTCTTGTTGGTTGCAGGTAGATATATACAGTAGGTTGATCCTGATGGTAAGATTGATGCCTTAAGGCCTGTTTGGTGGCCAAAGCTCATACACAAATATTTGGTTTAGACTACAGACACTCTTCTTAGTAGCCAAAATGACATTTGTCTAGCTACTCATATCTATGGTTGTTCTTTGTCACTGGCCTCTTTTTCCGTTTGATATCAAGAAATGTTTTCCTTCATGGTGATCTTGAAGAAGTCGTATACATGGAGAAACCTCCTAGATTTGTTGTTGAAGGGAAGTCTTCAAGATTTCTTTGTCGTCTCTGGTAATCCCTTTATGATCTCAAACAATCTCCAAGGGCATGGTTTGACAGATTCAACATGGTGGTTCAACAATCTGGCATGACTCTAAGTGAAGATTTGTGGAAGGATATGGTAAGATTGCAAGACCTTTGACTCAATTGTTAAAAAAGGAAGGGTTCAAATGGAATGAAGAGGCCCATTAGGCTTTTGAGACCCTAAAATTGTTTCTCAATTACTGAACTGGGCAGTTCCAGATTTTTCTAAACCTTTCACAGTTGAGACTAATGCATCCAGTAAAGGGCCAGGTGCAGTATTATTACAAGAAATACCATTGGCATTTTGGAGTCACGCTTTGTTAGAAAAAGGACAGATCAAATCTGTATATGAAAGAGAATTGATGGTAGTAGTTCAAGCTGCACAAAAGTGGACAGACAAAACGCCTTAAATTTGATGGAAGAACAATTTAAACAAGCTTCCAAGCTCATTGAATTCAATTTTGAAATACAATATAGGCCTGGCAAGGAAAATACAGCAGTTGATGCTCTTCCTCGGAAGGTTTTGTTCTCTGCCATGTCAATTTTACAAACAAAAGAGTGAGAGGATTGAGAACTAAAAATTCAAAAGGACTCTCGACTGTATGCATTAATGTAAGACTTATTGGTGGATCCTAGAGCACATACAAACTTTGAGTTACAAGAGAGACGAATGTATTACTATGGAAAGCTAGTATTACCAAGGCATTTCCCGCAAATTCAAGAAATCAAAAGGGAATAACATGTACCCCCTATGGGCAATGTTGAATGGATACAGGTACGGTATATGGCATTTTATAAAAACATAGGTTTCAGGTACATTGATTATAAAAATAAAATATATATATATACACACACACATATAGGGTACAGATACGACATTTAAGAGAATACTTAGTGTTTTATACTTACTAGAAAGGAATGAGGAGAGAGATGGAGTTTGGGATGAAATGTGAAGTTTTACAGCCAATGTCCATTTCTACAAAAGTTTGGTCAGATATAATGATGAACATTGAAGAATTATCCAGGGCTAAAAAGGAAACCATCTTAGTAGTTGGACAGACCTAACAAATATGCCCACTTTTCGGTCCTCACTCACCCCTACTCTGCTGCTGATGTGGCTCAGCCTTTTGTGCAAGAAATTGTCAAATCCCACGTTTCCCTCAACTACAGTCTCTAATTGGGATCAAATCTTCTGCAGTATATTATGGAAAGAATTGTTCATGCAGGTTGGCACTAAACTGAAATTTAGTAGTTCAGTTAGTACTTCTTACTACCCTCAAACGGGTGGTCAAAAGAAGGTGGTGGAACATTGTTTGGAGACTTATTTACATTGCATGATAGGGTCGAAGCCCAAGAACTGGACGGATTGGTTGAGTTAGGCTGAATTCTGGTTCAACACGAATCATAGTGCTACTACAAAGATGACCCATTTTAAAGCATTATACGAACGTGGTCCTCCTTTACTTTTGAAGGGCACTAATTTTCCATCTAAAGTGGATAGTGTGAATCAATTGCAACAGCAACAAGATGAAGTATTGAGAGATTTAAGAGGCAATTTGTGTAAGGCACAGGCTCAAAAGAGATTGCAGGCCAATAAACATAGGCGTGAAGTAGTTTCTCAAGTGGGTGATTGGGTTTTCTTGAAACTACAACCATACAGATTATGATCACTAGCTAAGAGATCAAATGCTAAGTTGAGTCCAAGGTTATGTGGCCCTGTTAAATCTTTAGATCGCATTGGCCAGGTGACATATAAGTTGTAGTTACCTGAGCATAGTCATATCCACCCTATTTTTCATGTGTCTCTCCCCAAACTAGTTGTGCATCTTGCCACCACGCCACAACCTCTACCTCCTATATTGTTAGATGAGCATGTTATGGAGGTAATCCCAGAACAACTACTAGATACAAGGACAACCTCCCATGCTGAGTTAGAAGTCCTTCCCAAATGGAAGAAGCTTCCAAATTGTGAGAATAGTTGGGAATCTGCTGCCACGATCCAAGAGGTATTCCCAGATTTTCACCTTGAAGATAAGGTGGCTCTTCCAGGGAGTATTGATAGGTTCACAAGAGTGTACAATATGAGCTCATACAGGTAAAACAATTTTAGTAAATCAAATAAATTTTTTTGACATTGCATCTATTGAGTTGTATGCATGGAGACCTTTCCCTACTGCATGCAACTTAATTTTGAACGAACCAAACACACTAAGATTGATTGACACTTCATCCAAGAGAAGATTGCATCTGGAGAAATTACCAAATCACTTAAGGAACCAAGAATATTGTATCAATGCCTTTGACATATACATTCCAGCTTAAGGGGGAATACTTTGAAACGAAGGTTGTCAAAATCGAGTTTCAAGGTTGGAGCGGAAGGGGAGTCTTGGACCATAGGATCAATGATACAATATCTGAATTATAAAGTTGCATAAGTTTTTACCAAAACAAAAGCAACATATCATAAAGCAAAAAACACTGCCACCAAAAACACTGGAACCAGCCTCATTAACACTGCCAAAAGTACCATTGTTACCACCTTCATAAAGCAAAAAACAAAATACACAGCAACAAGAAAGAGACGCGGCAATAAAGTACCCCACAAAGAAGGAGAACACAACACGCAAAGCAGCAGAGGAACGCAACACCAACAGAGGGAAAAGTAGATAGGTAGACACAAAGAAGGAGGAAAAGTGGAGAGGCAAACACAGAAGGATGAAGCAGAATGCAACACAGATGCAGAACAGCAGAGGCACGAAACCACAATTGTGTTTTCAGAGGAGAATGTTTGGGAAAAAGGTAGAAATGTGTAAATGATTTGGGAGAAACATAGTTGGTTTCAAAAAGACCAAAAGAATTAGGGCTTTTTAAAAGTCAGGTCCACAACCTGATCCACATTGAATGCAAGTTTGACACGTTTGGAGCACGCCACTCCAACGACTTAAGCCTCAACATGACATTCCAGGCCGCCTAAGCAGGACTCACAGAAGGGTGAAAAAAGCGTTGAATCATGCTATTCAACACTCCAAAGCACAATTTTGACAAAATTGCTTGAAACTACACTAATTAATGACTTCCAAGTAGCCTAGATACTCTGTACTTAGGAAATACAATTAGAATTATTAGTACAATGATTTTTCCTATTATTATCATAGGTAGGTAGGTTGGTAGGTAAACAGATAGATAGAAGGGAAAATCCAACAAGACCTGAAGAGATGCTGGAAGGACAAACATTCTAAGCTACTACTAGAGATCTCAATCCAGCCCATGCACCAAGACTATGCAAAGAACAGTAAGAGGAAGAGCTTTCTGTGGTTACTAAGCCATAGCAAATCATTAGCATTAACCCTATTAACTTCCACAGAACAACCAAAAGCTTTGAGCCTTTGACTTTCACCACTGGCTGCAGCCATAGATTTCCAAGTCAATCAAGAAGTAATTTCCAACTTTTGAACAAAAGCTGTGCAAAATCTTACAGGGAAAATAGAACTCTGGCATTCCCAACCCAAGAATACCTCAAGGCGCAATTTTGAAGAAAAAGATGAGAAACCTAAACATAGACCTACACTACAACCAATTTATGTTGAACTTCAATAAATAAGTGATGGCATCTAAAATCAAAAGTCAGAGACACCATTCATTGACGAAAAAAAGTTAACTAACATGATGTTTCCATTAGTTTTTGAAATATAGACTTCGATACAATTAATTAAACATCAAGAAAATGGAATGTACAAAAACAAAATAGCTGTGAGATGTACAAATGACAGGTTCACATGGACACAGCTATGTTATTAAAACATGACATGTCACCTGACTCAAGAAGTTCATTGCCTCTTTAACAACATCCCTGAATTTGTCATCATCAAGCCAACCATACTTTGTAATGCGACAAAAGAGTTGGATCAAGGATCCAAGCACAAAGGGCTCCAGTTCAGGTCCTTTGCTAGCCAGATAGTTTATGAGATAGTTTCCTTCAGAAAAGTAGCAATTTGATCAATTTGGGTTAAAAGAAAATAGCAAATGAAGCAACCAGAGTATGATAAAATTGACAGCAACCCAATCCAAATATTATACCCATATTTCCCAAAAACAACCTTCAAAGAAATATGGGAAAATAGCCCACAGATAATCCATAAAATAAGTTGATACCAATTCAAGAACAAAGAGTTTAATATATGCAAAAATAGGTCTACCAAGTATTGAAGAATGTTATATCATAATGCTAAAACCTCAGTGCGTAAAATCTTCTTAGGGAAAAAGATGAATAATATGATTTTGCCCACAGACCCATGCCAAATATATAGAGCCCCTAAAATACTCCTAGTCATAATCATCAACAAGCAAGAATATTACGAATATCAATTCGGAGCTGTAAAGGAAGGCTTTGCTCTGTCACTTGCTTCAACAAGCTCGAACTAGCCAACATCAAAGCATATGGAGAGGATGCATTATCCAGAACATATTGGCACCGTGAAATGTAGTCAGTATTTAAGGAAAAGCATTTCAGGGTATTTTCGGCATGTGCTCTCTCAACAGAGTCCTGCGAATTATAAAGCCTTTCACACAATGCTTCTAGTTGTGCCAAAGTCTCCATTCTTCACTGCTTAGGATGTGTATCCAACAATTCAGATGAAGAAATCAGTTCTTCTCCTTTTTCCACGCATAACCAATATAAATCTACAAGATTTCATGTGAATTCAAGTATATATTTAGAGATGGAAATACAAAAAAGAATATAAAGAAAGCCTCAAACCAATACAAATTATCAGACACCATCAAAGTTGATCAATTTGGATATAGTAGCACTCAAATGTTAAATGTTTACAGGTGTACAAGATAGTGTTTTCAAATCTGAAACTGTTTGAATTACAAGAATACTCTAAAATACAAAGACAGCTCTGCATAAATGGATCACAGCAGAAGTCATCATCAAATCCAGTCACAAAAGCACTTGTCCAAGAAATGACCAGTATTGTCCTGACAGAAAAAAGGAAAAGTCAATATTATTTCAAAGCAACCATTCATAATATAAAATCATCAACTAAATAGAAAAAGCTATTTTGTAACCACATAGTAAAGAAAACAGAGACATATAAACAACCATCATTATCACAACTTACTCTCCTTTGTCAAGAAATTGCTTTGAATTCTGAGCCAATCTTTGTTAAGGGTTTAAGAACAACAGCATTAAAACTAGACAAATATGGCATCTACCTATACCTGTACAGATGAATGCCTATATAATATACAACATTCCACTCAAAAAATGAAATGAAGGCAGACTCCAATGCCTTCAAGGCTAAAAGAAGAAAATATATTCACAGCGCAGTGCAACTCATACTCAATGAAAGAAGTGATATCCTCTCCTCAGTTATTAATTTTTGTACAGGCCTGGCTAGTAGCATGAATGTTCCTTATTCTCGTTACAATAGGGTGTGGTAAGAGATCAAATTCAAAATCCATCCTTGGACCATAGTTATCAATAGCAGGTAATAGCAGCGCTATAGCAAAATTGCAGAGTGGAGCACCAACAGGCCACTACAAAATTTGAATAGCAGAGCATTTTTAAATAGTGGCCACAATAGTTACCAAAATAGCAGCCAAAGTGGTGCTAGAGTAAAACTTTAAAAAACAATTCATCTTTGCCCTAAAAAAAAGCACTCTTTTGGTGAATTATTTTACTTTTATTCTTATTTACTTGTATGTTTTGCTTAAGAGTTATAACTTTTATTTTTAATTATAAATATGTCATGGATTTTGAGTTTATTTTTAAAAATTTTGAGCATTTGTGTATATAGCATATTAGTATAAATTATTTAATTTGTATATAAAATTTCTAAATAGCACTCATCCCGCTATGTGCTACCCCATATTAGCATTTTCGGCGTCGGCCACTACACGTCACTATCCAAGATTGATAATTATGCCTTGGACTTCTCCTAACATCTTAAGCTTTTAATTATTCATTTATTGACACAAAATAGGATTGCTTAATCTGCTTTACATAAATAAATAAGCACATATATTCATTATTTAGGAAACCCCCCCCCCCACCACTATTAGCAAACTATATTTAGGTCACCACACCATAACACCTTAAAGATGGGAATCCACAATAAATGAGCAATTACCGAGTTTTGAACATGGTTTCTCACGCTTGAAGAAGGGTACATAAGTGTCAGGAAATAATGGGACTCAAGCCCTAAATTTACCTTGGGATGCCAATTTGGACCCACAGTGAGCAACTATCGGTTATTTTTTCATAAACAAATAATTTATTAAGAAACAAAGGAAAGATACAAATGCATGAGGACAAGAAATCCTCAAAACAATATCAATAATGACTAATAAAAGGAAAAGGAAAAAAAGACTACAAACAAAATACATGTAACACAGCATGCCAATCTCTCTATAGATGGGACATCCTCCAGAAAAGACCATTTGCAAAACACCACAAAGAAACAAAATGAACTACTTGATCCCAAATACACATCATGCAACATTCCAACAATAAAAATATTTTATTTCCAGCCATATACAGAAAACAACTGCAAATTGAGAATAACACCAAAGCCTTTTGGCATCATTGGTGCCAAAAACTATAAAATTAACACACAGAAACATACTGAGACCCTTGGGGCAAACCCAATCATCACTAAGATGAACTCAGGGTTTGGCAAACTAAATAAACTATATCTGAATAAAGGAAAGAAGATATATTTTAGAATGAAGTTAGCAATCAATACTGACTTGAGAAGTTGATTGAGACTCCAACATAAAGGGACCCACTCAGTGCATTTCAAAGAAGCCAAATGGCATGCTTAAGTAGCCAAAGGCAACAAATTGATGCAAGGCACACCCGTCTGATGCCTTAGGGCAGCCTTTTTAATTCAGGTGAGGCACAACTTTTCAGCATCTTTCAGATTACTATAATAAACAAAACACAGTCACTCAACTTACTATTTGAAATGAAAGGGGAAGGTAGTCATAACCAGTGTAAGTCTTTTAGGTTCTTAGTAGCAGGCACCTAAGGGTATTATAGATTGAACATCTTAATTGTTATTTTACAAATGAACATTGTGCATGAGTAGTTAATTTATTCAGTAACTTGATCCAAATCAGTCAGATACTTTACTATTTTCTTCTCTTTCTAATGTTAACACCTTTGTCCGATGAGGCATCCATTTTTTGGTGCCTCTCGCTTCAAACCATTAAAATCACCTTTTGCCTTTGATTACCTCGGAACCACTACTTCTAGACAAACAGGTCATTGGCAAAGTCATCACACACCAAATATTATCAAATTTAACAAGTTATCAATTTTGATCCCCTACAATCAATGCATGGTAGGAAATACATTAGAGAATAACAAATGTGTTCAATCCTTGTAAATATAGCTAAATTTGGTTTTAGTCATCCAAAGAAATTTTTGTTGATTTTGATCCTCACAAATTTTAAAGTTTTTTAAAACCAGTCCCCATCACCATTACCAATAACTTAGCACGCACCTAGACATGCTACCTCAGCATGGTAGCTGATATGGTATTGTTAGATACATGCCATGCTACTAACTTACTAAGCAATGACAGGACCATTTTAAAAAAAATTTAAAATTCATAAGGAACAAATTCAACCAAAAATTTTGGAGAATCTCAAATAACATCACTAACTATTACTAAGAGCACCATGAAACACTGCCGACAAGTAACCCCCTTCCCCTTTCTTCAGTCAAGTGACAACCACCTTTCACCATGCAGTGGAACAATAACACAACACATCAGCACGTAAGGTGACAACAAACATTTACTTTGCTCACACGAAGGTCTTATGTAATCCTAGCACAATGCTAGCATACAGTAATCACGAAGAGTGAACAAAGCCACAGAAGGAAAAGAAAAAAAAAAAACAGTTTATGAAATCAAACACAAAGAAGAAAAACATTATCAGAACAAATTTTGACATCACAACGCACAAGCAAAAGCAAATTTCCGAACACAGTAATCGACACATAATTACAATTAAAAATCTATCAAGAGAGGACTAAAACATGTTTGGATTCAACACAGCAAGGTGTTTGCACAGTTGATCATCGACTGTAGCATATTAACATACATCAAAAGCGCAGAAAAACAATCCAAAAATAAATAAATAAATAAAACCTAATTATCCATGTACAAACACAAATACTGAGAGCAGTAGGAGAAACCGAATAAGGATTTTCTGAGATTGTAAAGAAGATTCTTACAAAGAGCAACAATGACGAAACTGCGAGAGCGAGTTTGGGAAGATTCTAAGGCTAAAAGCAGCGTTTAAGCGTAGCGGTGAGTGTGGTGTGGAAGGGATAAGAGAGAGAAGTACGAGTTTCTCAGTTTTGAGAAGCACGAAAATGCAGAGTGAGGTCTCGCGTGTGTGGGAGCTTTTATAGGACGATTACGCCCACGCCATTGTTTATTTTTTCTTTCTCTCTCTTTCTTGGGGGGTGTGTGGACCCACCACCGCGGAATTTCTTGAGACCTGCGGTTGGACTAGGCTGCCCGAGTTTTTCGGATAGGAATAGATGATTTTTCGGTAAGAAAAAAAAAATTATCTAACGTGATTATAAATTTATTTTAGACAACGAAGAAGCCGCACTCTTTCAAACATAATTTTTTATTATGTCAACTTCGAAACAAATTACTGGAAGTAAAATAAAGTATACTATTTTTTTCATAATTAATTTTTTTATATTTTAATATTAAAATCAACTGAAAATAATACGTAAATTACATTTTTTATTGTAATAATTTTATTTTTTTTACTCACTTTTTTATTAAGTTTTAAAAAAATAAAAATAAAAGTTGATAGCTAATTTTTTGTTACTATCCTTATAAGTTTTTTAAATTTATCGTAAATTTTTATTTTATATTTATAAAAATCACATAAAATTTAATTATTTTAAAAGCAAAAGTGATGAAATTTATGTGTTTATAGATAGATTTATACACTTTATCTATCAAAACAATATTAAGGATAATATTTGAGAAACCAGCAAGAACCTCTACTTTTACGTATATATAGTATGAACAAAATTAAATAATTAATGAAAGTAATTAATCACATATTATGATATTAACTTATTGTTACTCAAATAAATATGTATAAGTAAATATAATCATAATATTTAATAGTTAAAGATTATTGAGGTGTTCACTATAAAGAAAATTGTTTCTACTACTAAGTTTATGTACCTTATATGTGTGTTATTTAAGGCATTAATGTCTCTAATATGATGATGTGATAATTAGATTAATATTTAAATTTATTTTGATATTTTTTTAGAAGATAAATTACTTATTTTTACTTATTGATAAAGTTCTTTCTCTCTCTTTTCTTTTATTTTTATTTTTCTTAAATCACTACAACAAAAATAATTTTTAACAGTAATTTTTATAATTTTTAGTGGCAATAAAAATAGTCTTTAAAAATTTTATTGGCAAAAAATTATTTGATATTGTATCCAATGTTGATAAAAGTTTTATTGACTATTATAAAGAATGCTAACAAAAAATTTAATTTATTATTGCTAAAAACTTTAATTCATAATGGCAAATATTAATAAAAATTTAAATAGCCACTAAATTTATTTTAAAATTTATTTTTTATTTATTTACTAGCTTTTATTATTATTTGTAAAAATTTAAAATTATTTTTATTAATAATTTATAATCTCTTAAATATTAATAATTTGATTAGTAAAAATTTTAATTACAATAAAATACATACAATTATGTCAAATAAATAACAAAATTATTTCAAATAAAAATTGTCTTGATTTTATATAAAACACGTAACAAATTGTACTTATGTCATCAAATAAGTTCAAATTCAAAAAATTACTCTTAAATAAGACATAAAAGTTATTAAATAACACACACCCTCCAACAAAGTAAATTTGGATTACACACCGTTACTTTTCTAAGCTACTAAAAATGGCAAGACAGTGAACATTCATAAGTAAATGTTGTGAAGCCATTAAACCCACTATTATTTTCCTTAAACTTGTCAATTAATCCCTGTAATACATAATTAAAAACTCAGATATTCCCATAAGCAAAATACAAATGCATCATCTTCATTTTATCATAAATTGTTTCATTAGAATTCAACTTTTGGTTCATACTATAAAATAAATCATTCATAAATCACCAAAATTTCACTGACGAAACATAATGTGTTTTTAATAATGTTATAGTCAACTATCAAGAGATAACTTCATGCAGAACTTGAAAGTATGGGAACTTAGTCAAATTCATGTTGAATATATTCTCATTTTAGTCTTTCATATAGCAAACATAGTCAATTTATAACGTTACAACATCACCACTTAACTTTCTAATAATATACCCATTTCAGCATCATGGAATAGTAGCATGTAATATATAATATGACATGTAATTAAAATACTTGTTGAGCTAAACCATGACATGAAGCTTTTGAATCTCCACATCTTTCACCACTTGACTTTCCAAGAGAGTTGCTACACATAACACAAATACCACAGAAGATTGCAAATTAATAACAATAATTCTATAATTATAATGGATAAATCTATTAAAAACATAAAAACAACAAGAATGAGCATTATATTAACACATAAAAATAAAAATATAATACTATGAGAAAGTGCACACTTTTTATCAGCACCATGAGTGAAGTGCTTGTTCTACTTGTTCAAGGCTACTATAAGCATAAGGAATCTAGAAAATATTATGTTATGAGAAAATAAACTTATCTTATAGTAACACCTTTTAAGAAAAAAAATAAAGTTTAAAAGCTTAATTTGAGAACCTTGCTACAATTTTGAGTTCCAGGTAACTCAGTAGTAAAAAATTTACCCATAACTTGTCTCATGAAAGGCAACTCTAATACTAATTTGTCCTAATTTTGTTTCATCAAACTCATTTCAGCGTCGTGTTTTTCCTTTAGTTCTTTTATCTCTTGTTCTAACCTTTGGATAGCTTCATTAGATGTATTATCTATAATAATATTTTTTAAGGAAGATTTACTACCCCATAGCAAAGAAGGAATTGGACCAAGTCTCAAACCACAAACATAGCTACTTCTTTCATTTCCCAACAAGTGTAAACATAAAATTTAAAGCAAGTAAATTGGGGGGAGGTTTGTCAATTTTCATATTTTAATCAAGAGCAAAATGTAAACTAGTGAAATTCAATCAGTTAAGGAGAGTAATCCCTAGTCAATCAATGAGTTCTATCCTTATTCTTTCAAATGATTCAATAATCCCCTATTTTTCCCTTGAATTAAGTTAATCTAACAAGCGAAAATTAACTTTAGCATCCCAATTAAAATTAAGCATCTTAATGGGCTCCAATCTCTATCACTAAGATTAAGCAATCTCAAAGATTGATCAAAATTAAGCAATTTTGGATTAGAATTTCGTTTGGGTAATTTAGGGTTCATTAAGCAATGTTCTCCTCATGTAAATTTCATTTCATTCAGAGATTGGGGTTAATAAATCCAAGAAAAGAAAGAGTAATATTGCCATTAAACCCCAGAATTCAAGAACCATATGAGTTGACTAGGAATTACAAGAGAATTTAGCCTTCCATATGGATGGGCTTCACAAATAAAAGAAAGAAATACAGAAACGTAAACAACATTAATGTAAACTCAATGAGAATCAAAGGAAAATTGATAATCAAAACCTATAATGGATCCCTGGCTGTCACCCGAGGCTCCAAAGCTCTGGAAAGAAAATGTCCTAATTTGGCAAAGAGAATGAAAGAAAATAAAATGTTCAAGTCCCCGTACCCTAATTCCTAAAATCTATTTATAGTGGAAGACATGTCAGCAAAGTGTCCACTTTTGCCTTTGAAAGTGTCCACTTTGGGCCTTGAAAGTATCCACGCGCATATTTACGTAAGCTTGCCAATTCTCTGGAGTTGCCACTTTTGGACTTGAAAGTGGCCACTTTGGATGCGCGTAGCCACTATGAAAGGCAATAGTGGCCACGCACAAATTGCTTCCAAAAGTGGCGTCCTGGAGTTTTCTGGAGTTACTACTATTGGGCTTGAAAGTGGGAACTTTGGATGCGCATAGCCACTTTGAAAGGCAATAGTGGTCACGCGCAAATTGCTTCCAAAAGTGGCGTCCTGGAGCTTTCTGGAGTTGCTACTTTGGAGGTTGAAAGTAGCTACTTTGGAACCTTTAATGTCCAGACTTGCTGTAGTTGCCACTTTTGCTCCTAAAAGTGGCTACTTTGGGGGCAACTTTCATCCAAGGGCCAAGATATCTCAGAATTAACTTGGGGACTCTGCAAAATTATCAAGATAATTAAAATTGTAATCTATATCTATGTAATTAAATGCAAATTAACCAAAAATTAATAAACCTATGATATTTACTCAAAATGTGATTTCTATATTATTTGCACTATCTAAGTCCATTTTTTTCTATCAAAGAGCACCAAAAAGGAAAGTAAAAATATAATAATAAGTGGATTCATCAACCCAAAATGATGTTTCAACTAGTAAATTTCATTGGATCTCATATAGAAAATTTATTACCTTTACTTTATCAGAAACCAAATAAGAGACCCCTTAGTATACGATTTGGTCAATTTTTCAATAAGGCATCTTTTGTCTTATACTCTCATATAAAACTCTTCAAATCACATTTATAATCTTTCTATTTCTTTTTAAACGATTTTTTTGACAAATTTGTTACCACATGCTGTAACACCTTAAATTTAATTTCAATAAATAAGGAATTTCGTAAATTTTTAAAATAATAAAATTTTAATTTTCAATCCAAGTTCATCAAACATTTTCAAATAAAGGAAGGGGTTACAAATTATATCAACCAGTTACTACAGAACTTATTCAAATACAATAGTTTTCAAAATGATATCCTAAGTCCCATAGCAGTTCCATCCACCCCTTCACTGAGTCTGGTGCTGATCGTCTTGATTACCTGAAAAATGAATGTAAGGGTGAGTACTCTACACTACCAAAACACACAATTAAGCATAGAGTCTCACCTCCAACACATTTTCAATACATTAAACAAATACAATCACAAGCAGCATTTCACATCCATAAGTATAATTCATAAACCCATGCATACGCACACCAGTCACATTCACCGCAGTACTGTAATCACAGATTTACACCATGAATGGTCGTCAGTTACCCGCGCCTCACGGATACCACGTGGGCAGTCATGGGTTGCTCAGTAAAGGTAATGGTCAAAGGTCTAGTCAGGAAGAAAGTGTGTGGCCTGTGGTGCACCTGTTCCGCAGTCGGTGTCACCACCACTCCTTCTTCCCCAAGGTATTTCTACCGTCCTCATCTCTCACACCCTAGTATATCGCTAAACCATTCACAGCACATTATAACGGCGCTAACACGCCCATTCACACATATTCCATTCACGCATGCAATAATCATGCTTATACACGGCACACAGCCCGCACTGCATTCAAATACACGGCACTAGGGCCAAATTCATTTC